TGGATCTCGTCAACCTCGGTTGTCCCATTGGACGCCCGCGGAACCCTTCCTCCTGAGTCCACACATGACAGCATGGAAATCCCTTAAACGCCTGCTCACAAAGGATCTACCCACCACGAGACGTGGTGGGTAGGAAAGCTGGGGCTATTGTTATTAGTCGCGATTTTTTCCATCGAATTAAGAATACGGGTCCCCAGAAAATAGGAGTGAGGTGATTAAGGAATCTGATGGCACACTGATTCACCATCAGCAACACCGTCTTGATCGATGGGTTGAACATTTCGAGGCGCAGTTCGACTAGTTTCCATCGACATCTGACCTATCACTCCCCACCCTCGACTGGTTGATGCCAGTCCACCATCTGAAATGGAAGTTTCCCAGGAAATAAGTTATCTCGAATGGCAAAAGGCCTCCATTTTAGATGGACTGTTCTCATCAGCGTTTAAGCATGCAGACTCAGCGTTAGTCTGGGAGTTGACGAAACTCCCGGGTTCAATATGAGAGGTAGGAGAGGTTCCAACGGAATGGAAACGGTCATCATACCAATTTACAAGAAAGGTGGCAGACCCTCTTGTGAAAACCATAGAAGAATTGGTTTAATCAACATTGGCTCTGAAGTTCTCGATGGTACCCTAATCCGTCTACTGTCTGCCTCACGGGAAGAATGCACGCGTGAGAGCGAGGCTGGTTTTGTACCTGACCGAGGGCTTATCGACCATATCTTTAATCTTCCCCAAATTTCTGGAGCACCGACATTCTTTTTGTAGACCCACCGTCTCTGTCCTCCTCGACTCAGCCAACCGCTCTGACCTCTGCAGCTACCTTCCCTGAAGAATGTGCACGAGAGGTTTCTGTCAATATTACGATCCCTATATACTAATACATATCGGCAGCGGTATCGCCCTTAAAAGGTAACAATATATAAACCAGTTTCTTGCCAACGGTGGTGATCTCATTTTGCAATCGGTGATCCCTCAAAATGTTATCCGCGAATCGTTCCGGATATCCTCATCACAGCTAAACCGAATGGTCAACTGTTAGAAGGTAACCTAACCCGGCGCGCTTAGGTAAAGTTAATTGCTAGATGAACCGGAACTAGAGTTTTATTTTCTTTTTTGTGCATCAAAATAATTATTTTCAATTCTACCGGATGTGTAGATATAAGATGGCAGTACAAAGTAAATTAACATGAAGATAATCATACTACTAAAAACAAGAATAGTAGCTTAAAAATGTTTCCTAAAAAATAAAACGCTTTCACTCTAAAGTGCAACATTTTGTAAACCAGTCTTCCACAAATCGTTGGTTTTCAACTGTACCGTTCTTGAGTCATGGATATTGTACAAAAATTTTTTCTTTTCTCAATCTTTGTGCTGCCGCACAGTATAGTTGCTTAGGAATCTTGGCCATTCACAACCAGCGTCAAAACTGTATTTGGTCTGTTTTTTTTTCCGATCTCATCAAGTAACGGCATATGAAGTGTCTATCTTATTTGCATTTCGCTTTTCTTTTTTCAGCCAGTTCGCTGTGTCCTGAAGCATTTTTAGTTTTGTGTTGGTGATCGTTGCTTTTACTCCATATTATTATTTCGAACTCCCATGTTTGTTATTTGTTTGTGTACGTCCACTTTCCCTGAAATTTTACAGACTGGTGAAATCAAACACGGGGATCGATGTTTAGAAATGTCTTTGGATAAGCAGACTCTCCAAATAAACTACTGCACCGGTTCCGATCGACAACGATGGAAATTCAGTCGAAAGCCATTCATGCCTCCGGATGCACAGTAGAATAAAACCTGTTCCAACCACCTGCTCACTCCCTCGCTCTGTCTACCCGTGAACTCACGCCGCTTTTTCACGTGCGTTACACTTTTTTCTATAATTCTCATCCTTCCCACTGCCTTTCTCTACGTTCCGATCAAAGCCTTTGGTCAGGGTAATGTGTGATCTTTTGAAATGCGTGTGCCTTTCCCCAACTTCTACCCCGATCCCTGAGACATCTTGCGTGCTATCGTTGTTTATATAGTGAAATTCAAGGTGGCTTTTAATCCATCTCGTATCATCAGTTCTCTACTTTCTCCCTCAGTACTTTGCGAGCGTGTCTATGTGTATCTATGTGTGTGCATGTATATATGCCTGTTATGTTCTTCCACAAACAGACATTTCAGCTCGCTTCCTCCCATCATCACCCCCACCATCCAGTTATTTCAGCAAACTGTGATACTCGGATGAAATGCGCACTGTGGTATTACTATTGATACGTACACACTACAACTGGTTTCGCCATCAGTAGTGAATCTGATAACAAAACCATCGTGTCCATTGCTATGGTGGCTATAATCACTTCTTTCCAAAACCTGTACTTGTGTACAAACTACCTTCCAATTATCGTGCATCTGGCAGCAGCACCATTCACTCTCTGTCTGGTTGTTAGTAAATCTCGTTCATATTCTCTTTCTTCTATTGGCTCTTCTCTGTCTGAGCGGTTTTTCGCACACTGCTGCGTGTCACTTGACCTCTACGTTCTACAAGTCCAAGTCTTCCTTTTCCATATCGGATAGTGGTTTCTTTCCTCTTCTTGACTTCCGTCTCTCTTTTTCTATTGATTATGCAAATAGAAATTCTCTGATCGCGCTATTTTTACATGTATACCCCTCCTTTTCTTCGTATGGGATATTTATTCGCCTCCATCCTGTTACTAATCTACCCACAATAATCTCGGCAATGTTTTCATTCGTATTTACACCTGTTTGACGGAATCTTTCAGTTACACTTATTTTGCCATTCCCTGCTACATCATCGGTGAAAGACGTTTCCGGTGTGGGCATTTGATCACGTGTCATTCATTCATCAATGTTTCCCAATTGCTGAATGACGATATTCCGATTCTGTTTTGCCTTGTTCTGATGCGTTCAAGTTCAGTTTTATCAACTATAGAAAAGGTGTCTCTTGTACTCACAGGCGACCACTGAAGTCAAGCTTATTCCTTCTGTTTAATCTTGCTTCATTCAATGGGATGGATATTCTTCCTATCTGTCTTGGTCCTCATTTGTCTCCGATCCCATTTCATAATACACGACCACGGATGCTTGATGGTGCGATTATTATCGACTCACTCGTTGCTCATTGTTCATGCTCAACGATTGTTTCAACCAAGAAATTCGCCATAGTGCCTTGAAATAAATCCCAAGTCTTTCGGAATGTTTTGTGCTTGACCTTTTCGGTTGTGGAATTTCGTTCATATTAGCGCATCTCATGAATTAGGAGTAGAGCGATCACTGAGAAACCGGGGATAAACATACTTGTATGTAGCTGCAATTAAAGCGACTCAAAGCGGGTGGTTAGTCGTTCGTGTTCAACAGACTGTCTTTTTGCGTAAAATGCACATCCTAAATATTTAACGAATTCTTTAGAGAACTCGACAAAACTCATGCCATTCTATGTTGCTTCATGTTGAGGATTTGATTCCATTATATGGTAAGTTTCAAGGTGTGCAGAGGAAATGAACCGTAATCCGGTCAGTTGTGATTTGGTTTGGTTTCGTTAGCAACGTGAATCTATCAACTCAACGCTGAAGCTCACAGATAGAACGCAAGCGTATACCACAATTGACCACCTGGCAGCTGCTCAGGTGGTTTTTCAATTTACTTTGCTTTGAAGTTGAAGTTTCTTTTGTTCTGCACACGACATCTTCGTCATTCGAGTCTGTCAAGTCTTGTGTTAGTCTCGTGTAACAAGTATTCAGGTTCCGAATGCCTCTAGTCGAGTGACACATTCGTGGGGCCAAATGTTGAGCAAGGTGAGCTGCTGAGACCCGATCAGGTAAAAACACCTGTGCATCTATTTCTGGTTTTTCATTTCGTTCTCCATGCACCATAACCCCCATATTCCACAAGCACGGAACTTGTATTCTCGGCTGGTTTGTATACAGTTTGCAAAGCTCCGTGAACATGCGAAAATGAATTCAGTTCACCAGAGCCACGGTAACCAATTTTCAATAATTTGTCAATATTGATATATTTGTGTTCAGCACTGCTTTCCAGATACTCATCGTATTATCTGTTTGTGTTCGAACGGTTGAATTGCCAGATATCTGAACTATCCTAGCAGTAGTACTGTAACGAGAAGGCGAGCTGGCTGGGAAAACGTCTATTGATCCAATTCAAAAACAAACAGTGTCTACGTTCGATTATATACAGTCAATTCTGAACCGCGCGGCGGAATGATTCATGCCTCTTTCTGTGGATCATTCGTTGTTGGTCTTGGTCGGCACTTGGCACGTACGTTGGCTCTTCTTCCGCGTGCCATTCCGACTGGTTTGACCCGATCGCGGCGCGAGATGCGTTGATCGACAGCTCCGACGTTGTGGCATTCGGTGGGTATCTTTCCCGTTAGCTGCGGGTTGTCTTTCGGGCTGTAATTGTCGATTCACTCGTTTCGGGTGGCAGTCAACATTGTCTCGCGAGGCACTTCCCGCCACTGCGTCTGTGCGTCTGGTCGGATGGGCCCCATTCTTGCTTCGGTCGCTAGCCAGGACTCTCTTTGAACTGCCTTCCATCACAGTACCATTCATCAGTAAAGTTTACCATTGCTGGATTACATGTCGATCACAATATCCAGTCATGCGCTTCCTGCTGTTCGGTCTGTGTTGCGTCGTCTTTGTCAATGGCCGGTTCATTGAGTCGCCACTTCTTGCTTTATTGCTCCGTTCTGACATCCTAAAAGTCATTTAAATAAAAGCAGATGGCTTTGATTTTACGGAACCCAAAGGAAACAGTTATTCAACTGGACAAACGAAGAACGTCCAGCAAGGATAACCGTATGGCTAATGGGGGGCCGATAAATGCAAACAAGTAGTTGTTATCACCATGTTTGCTTACTTTATCGACATATGACAAAATACACCCGTGTACAATTAACTTAGGCGCCCCATAGCGAAAATCCTTAAAAGAAAAGTCTGGCATGGTGGGATAGTACGGTCTCTGAATAAGGAGTTACTGTGAGTATCAAAACCACAACTCGGTGAGGCAATTGAGTTCCAAAATAAATGAACTTCCAGAATTTACGGTCCAGCCTAATTCCAAATGCGGATATTCCCTCCTGACGCACATAAAACACAAGCACTCTGAACTCTACTTTTTCTAAACTTCTTAAAAACATTTTGCAACCATTTCAAAATGTGTTCAAACCTCTAGCCATTTTATCGAGAATATATGTTTTCGATGAGTTCCTTCTCAAGCCATTACAACCACGTTTATGTAAGAAAATAGTGGGAAGATGATTGTATTACGGGGTTGCGGATATTGGTGTTGGTGAGTTCTTCGCGCTGAAAGAAGCTAGGCAAGATCATCGGTGTGACTGATGATGTTGCCTAGCTTGGCTACGAAACGTCTGCGAACAACACTTCCAACTCGGAGGACTGACCAACATCAACATAGCGGGAGGTTCTTCTGTTGGGATCAGGCAGGTACATAGAAAATTGCCAAAATCACAGTACGAGACACTTGCCTCTTTATGTGTGCTATAAAAGAAGTAAACTTAGCAGGAAAACAAATGTTTTCTCTTGATGTTGTATTCCCCTTTCACCAACGCACCTCTTCTCGAGACAGTAAACTTCATCTGTGATTTCACTACAGGGGAGAAATAGATACATCTGTTCAGCAGACGAACTTTAGACAGAATTAGCAGTTGTGCAAAAGGCGCTGTCAGGAAATGACGTGTATCATCCTGAAAAGAGAGCACGGTTTAGCAAGTAGGCTCGTTTCCCGTGATACATGAACTGGCTGAATACAGCACATTTAGTCAGAAATATAGACGAATCCTGTGAGCGGATCCATACAACAAAGTACTTGTATTGTGAGATACTACTCACCTGTGAGTAGTACGCAGAAAGATGTGATCAGCAGTTTCTTTCAAAGACCAAAAATGAACAAGACCTGTTGGAGTAAACTGTTGCTGTTTGATACGGTAAAGACAAGAATGCGCATCTGTCAAAGGACCGTTACATTACATATCCTGTGTGTTTGGGGGAATTCTGCAAACTTGTTCCAAATGAGATATTTTGTCATATGAATGACAATTTAATCATATCCTGACCGTTATTTGCAATGAACGACTACCGATCAGCACCGACTTCTGGAATTGTGACACTTAGAGTGGGAGGTCGTTTTCCAACAGAGTAAGAAAGTCGCGTTCACAAGAATTAGAGAACGTGGTTAGTGCATTACGCTCGAGGATGAGATTGGGAATATCCATTTTAGCTCTTTAATCAGCAGTAAACGTCGTGGAAGCAAAGATGCAACTTATGGGGAAACGGAGCTGACAAAATGGCATATAACCGGGGAACGTATAGAAAAATATATGAATATGTATTTCATAACTCCAAACAGATTATATTCGTTCAGTTTTTTGTTGAAACGAGTTAAATATGGAGATATTGATGCATCTTAATTCACAACTTTCGTAACCATGTTATGATTATTTTGCCTTCTCTCTCTCTGTGGTCCCGGGTTCAGTCCTCAGTTGAGTGGATGGATTCGCCTTGCTTATGAAATATGATGATCCTCACACAGGCTCATACTTTCCATAATTTCCACTGACTGTACTAATAAAGCTTATAGACGTTTTAATAGGCCTGGTCAAATCGGTGACGTGTAATGGTAGAAGAACCGATCGCTTTGTTCCGTTCCTCATCGATTGCGATTGGTTGGATCCACTTAAAGTTAAAATGGTTTTATTTGTAATTGGAAAGGTATAGTTCTCTGGTTCAGATAGGAATTGTTTACGTT